ATTTGACACAAATTTAGTTGTTCAGATGAAAAATATTCAAGGAGAGGATCAGCATGCCAAAGATAGTCATATAGACTGCTTCTGAGTTAATTTTAACTATCTGTAGCACATTCTCCTTGAATATCCTATGGTGAACAGTGGATCATTTAATAAAGGTTTTTATGTAAGCCTTATAACGTTGACTCTTATCTCTTATATTCAATGAAGAGCAAACAGACTCAAAACTGGCAACCTCACCAGTGAATATCAGCATGATTAATCAATTACAATGGAGTCAGTGAAGCACATTCAGCATTGTCTCCTTCCAAAATTCTTAAAAGAAAATTTGAAAAAATTCCATTTGGAGAAGGGGAGTGCTATTAAAAAAGAAAATTTTATAGGAAAATCTCCCCAAGAATTATGACTCATATGGTTGTCAAAGCAAACTTAGAAATTGAAAACTTAAAGTACTCAGTCACTGCAACTATCCTTTCATAAATACCTTCACTCTTTAGATGACAAAAAGAGGTCATGCACCCAATTTACTTTCTAAAGGAAATAGTCTAAAAGAGGTCCCCTTAAACAAATCTGCTTAGGTCATGGGATTTAAACATAATACCACACAACCTCAGAAGTTTAATGGATAGAGAAAATTATTTTTTCTCCTTAAATTGATTAAAGAAATTCAGATGTTTTGTAGTTAGGAGGAAAAAAAGGTGGAGGACAACCCAAACCTTACTGTGGTCATTATGAGGTAAATACATTGAAGCATGTATTTAATGTATGGTCAGTGTATTGTAAATTGAGTGTAGTAGAAAGAGTACTGGACTAGAAGTCAGAAGACCTAGCCTTTTTTTTTTTTTTTGCCACCGACCTTGGGAAAATCACATAACTATTCTGTGTCTTGACTTCACTCTCTGTAAAATGGGAATTATGTTATTTGCCCTACCCACCTCTAAGTAGGTTGTTATATCGTGTGAGAGTATTTGAAAGTTGTCTGAAAAGCATAAAGTGCTTTATAAATACTTAGTTTTAATAAAAGCAATTATTACTTGCTTGTATTAGTTATTTTACTTTGTTGTGTAAATGTTACCTGTTTATTTCCCAAGAGGAAAGAATATAGGCTTGAGGGAGACAGTGCCTGGAACCTTCTTTATTTCAAGCACTCAGATTTCCATCGATATTATTTTTAGCTCTCCTCTGAGTTCTGTTGCTAAGAAACACTCCATTGCCTCAAAGCAATTTATTAATGAAGATCTACATACAGTATTGAAGAACTGAATTTATTTCAAATTATGTCATCCTAATTTAATCAGTAAGGCCCTATTGGTGCCAATTAATCCAATTTCAAATTTTAATTGTAAGTATAGTACTCTTGCTGCTATTAGTACCTTGAAGTTAACCTGGCATTGGAAAAGCAAATGGTTAACATATAAAAGTCCAAAGGACCTACAAAGCAGGACATTAGAACCAGTAGTCACATTCTAGATTCTAGCTCAAGTTACACTGCTGATTCTGTACCTAAGATTTCTCCATCTATAATGTAAAGCTATTAACACTTGACTCTACTTCCTGGAGTTATTGAGTTTTGAACAAGCAATTTAAAAGTGATCTTTTGAAATACAATCTACTTGTTAGTTAGGGTTACAAGGCATAGTGTTGAGACCTCACTTCAAATCTATCTTTGATTAGCTATGTATCTCAGGTCAAATCCTTTAGTGTCTTTGCGCCTCAGTTTGGTAATCTGTAAAATGGGTATAATACCTATGGTACTTATTTGCAAACCTTAAAGCATAAATGGTAGCTGTTATCTTCTTGTATACTGTTTGTGAGAAAAAAATTGCTTTGTTCAGTGCTAAAAAGGAAAAGCATAGTATTAAAAGCATAGTATTGCAGTTGAGAGTGCTGGCATGTCAGGAATACCTTAGTTTTTATTGTTGTTGAACTGCATCCAAGTCTTCATGACCTCATTTGGGGTTTTCTTGGCAAGAAGACTGGAGTGGTTTGCCATTTCCTTCTCCAGTTCATTTTGCAGATGAGGAACTGAGACAAACAAGGTTAATTGACTTGCCCAGGGTCATACAATAGTGTCTGAGGCTCGACTTGAACTCAGGTGATGGTATTGCATCCACTAGACCACTGCCTTTGATATATCTGACACATAGTAGCTGTATGGCCAGAAGCAGGTTACTTAACCTTCCAATCAGTATACTAGGAAACTCAATGAGACTATAAGCTACAGAATAATGGCAGATCTGCATGGCGTTCCAAGTACACTGATAAAATCACAGGTTTCACCAAAAAAAAAAAAAAAAAAAGGACCACTGGGCCTATTTCTAAGACTAACTTGCTTGTGTAACCATTAGCAAGTCACTCAACCATAATACTAACTTTCCTCATCAATAAAATGAAGATAATAATTAACATAGGAGAAGCAAGTTGCCTTAATATATGAGTGTTGGCCTTGGAATTAAGAAGACCCAGCAGGTTCCAATCCTGCCTATGACACTATTTGTGTGACTATGGGCAAATACATTATCCTTAGTGTTAGGCAACAAACCCTGCAAGCTCCTAAATTCATGTAATCACTGATTGAGAACTGGAAGGAGCTTAGACTTTATCTCATACAATCCTCTCACTCTATTCATGGGGGAACTGAGGCTCAGAGAGATTATGTGACTTGCCCAAAATCACATAAGCAATAAGTGGCAGAGTCAGAATTTGAACTCAGGTCCTCTGACCTAAAATTCAACACTCTTTCTACTACCCTGGTGGTGATTAAGAATTATATAAGTGAATTATTATTATTGTGGAGTTTGGGAAAGCGGAGCATGTACATTTAATAACTAAGAATATATATATGTTACCTCTTCCAAAAAACCTTTATGGATTTCCCCAGTAGTTAGTACCCTCTCATCACTGTGTGTTTTGTATATATCCTATATTTACTTATTTGTGAAGATGTTTTATCCTCTAGGTAGACTGTAAGCTCACAGAGGTCAGGAACTTTCACTTTTGTATTTGTATCCCCAGAGCCTAGCACACAGCTGGCTCTCAATAAATATATGCTGAATGACTGTCATGGTTTCATCATTTAACAGGGTTAAACAATGTTTTGATCAGTGTAGGGAACCCTAGATGGAGGAATTCTTACTAATGCTGACTGGCTAGAGCTCAGCAATTTATAGCCTTCAGGGTTACCTGGGGCACTGAAAGCTTTAAGCAATTATCAAGGATGCATACTGCCAGTATTTAAAGAGGTAGAACTTGATTTCAGATCTCTAATCAATCAAAGAGTATTTATTAAGCACTTGCAATGTGCTGGGCACTATGCTAAGCTCTGGGAATACAAATACCAGTAGAAAGAAAGTCTGTCCTCAAGAAGCTTACATTTTAACTGGGCACTACAACACATAAAAGGAAGTTGAAAAGGATTTGGGGGGAAGACAACATACCTGGCTGGGGACATGGTAGAGAAAATCCAGTGCAGCCTGAAGAGGAATGAGACGTGGATGATTTGGGTGCCATCTAATCAGAGGGAGAGGCTGAAGGGGCAGAGGTTACTTTCAGTGTGTGAATTCCAGGGCTACATTGGTGGGGCATGATAGAGGAAGGCTGATCAAGCCAAGAGAATGAGGACTCTTACTAATTCCAAGGCTAGTTCTTTGTCCACTAAACCAGGTTTCCTCACAAGAGCAGTTTGGGATAATTGAAATATTTTACAATTATAATTTGTAAATGAGAAGCCTCTTCTACGTCTAGTGTAATTAAATAAAATTCTAACAAAGTTGCTGAAAGCAGTGGAGACTTACAGCTGGATTTAAGAGGTGAATGCTTAATATAAAAACCAGTTAATTAGATACCATAACACCTTTTTTTTTTTTGCTTTTTGGTGAGGCAATCGGAGTTAAGTGACTTGCCCAGGGTCACACGGCTTTAACACTGTATTTCCAGCAAGACACTTGGGGTTGAAGAAGTTAGGTACTGTAGAACTGACAGTAATAGAACCTGAGGCGGAACAAAATTATAAAGGAATACGTTAGGTGAGAAGATAGGGTATGTGTGGGGGTAGGACTGGGTAGAAGGGAGTCCCAATAACGGTGCAGTGCATGGAATTCAATGCAAACACAGGATTGAGAATATTTAGGGAGATAAAGGGAAAGATAAGCAGAAGCTTTGCTTACAGGCGGGCAATGACAGCTCATCACTGTCATATGAACTTTGGGTGAGACAAGTCGACCTTAGCAGGGAGAGCCTGTCACTTCTGCTTGGAAGGATTGGGGGGGGAAGGAGGAAGAAGTGTCACAAGCCTCGACCAAAAGCACAATCTTTTTCTAGCTACTAGGGAGCTGGCTCATCGCGATAAGATTCAAGTTGAGCAACTGTTGAAGGAGAGCTAACAGACCTCAGACAACTAGCACACTGAGCCGCCCACGAGCCCCAGGCACTCGGGCACACCGAGAACCTGGCCCCGGGCGAGGGAGAAACCCCGCCAAAGAGTGGGGCGGGGCGTGGTCGGCCCCGCCCACCATCCCCGCGAAGGCCAATAACAATGGCGCGCAACCTTCCGCCCCGCCCACTCTTCCTCCGACTAACGGACGGACGTTGAAACAACACCCGAACGTTACGCAGCTCTTAACATCCATTATCTCATTGGAGTCTCATTACAAACGCCCCCCTGCCTCAACAAAGTCACCGCGCGCTCGTTCCATTCACATCCCGACTCCCGCCTCCCCAGGGCCAAGGGACAAAGACCCAGAGGTGATTTTTCCAGCCAGTGCAGCCCAAGGAACGACATTGTGGAAAGTTCGTACCCAGCTCTCGGGTGGTCCCGTGACCGGAAGTGATCCCCTCTCCCTTCCGCCCCCTCGAGATGGCGAGGAGACCGGAAGACAGGCCCGGCATACCCCGGGTTTCCGGTGCCCTCTGGCCTTTTTCTGTTGCCCGCTCTCCCTGCAGCTCTCGCTGGCTGGCGTGCTCGCTCCGGGACTAGGGCGGCCGGGGAGGGGCCGCGGCTGAAAAGTGGGCAGGTCGTCATGGCCGCCTCTAAGCCCCTGGAGGCGGCGGTGGCAGCGGTCCCCAGCGCCGGGGCCGGGGTGGGGAGCGGGGCGGCCGGTCCCAGCTCGGGGGGCCTGCCTCGCTGGCAGCTGGCGCTGGCGGTCGGCGCGCCGCTCCTTCTGGGCGCGGGCGCCGTGTACCTGTGGAGCCGGCAGCGACGACGGCGGGACGCGGGCAGTGGCGGCCGGGGCGATGCGGGGGGCGGGGGCCTCAAACGGAACAGCGAGAGGAAGACCCCCGAGGGCAGGGCCAGCCCGGCCCCGGCTGGGGCGGGCAGCGGCCACCAGGACGGCACCGGCGCCCACGAGGAGACGGTGAGAGCGGCATGGGAGGCCCGGGGCCGGGGATGCCGCCGCCCTCTGCGGGCTGGCAGCCGGGCGCCGTCCCCACATGGGTCTGAGGAGCCTGGGCACGGGCCGTGGGGGGTGGGCTGCGGTGTGGGAGGGATTTTCGGGGGGCGAATTGGTGTCTCTGTGTCTCCCCTTCCAAAAAGGGGAGCGTTTCTTGTGGAGAAAGCTCTTTGGAAGCTCCCCCCCCCTTGTGTGACACAGCATTTGGTGGCCGAAGGTTCAGGCGTGGGGATTTGGAGAGAAGTCCTGTGGCCCCTTCAGTTTAACTGCTTTTACCCCGGATTCTTTAGGGTCATCATACCTCACCTGTTACTGGAAAGGCCCTTCCAAATTATTTTGTCCCAACTCTTCAACTTTACAGGTGAGGAAACTGAGGCCCCAAAAGGTAACCAGTTTGCCCAAGGTCACACAATTTCCAGGTACAGGTTCAAGCCATGTCCATTGTTACTTCCACTACTGACTGTCCAACGCATGCTGCTTTTAGTAGTTATCCTGATATAACTTTAATTGTAACAAAGAATGATAGACCCCAACCCACTTTTTTTTTTTTTTCGGGAGAAAGAAGGAATGTTATTCACAATGTTACGGATTAGCCAACGGAAATGGCTGATTATCTTATGTTTTAGATACTATGTCTAAAAGTGGAAGTGGGTAGCGTTTTTTTTTATTGGATTTACATGTACATTGAAGCATACTGAATTCATTTTTCTGTCTTACCTCCTTCGATGTAATTGACATATCCATACATAGGGAACCTTAATCGGCAAGCATTTATTAAGCTCTGTCACATACTAGGCACTTTGCTAGGTCTCTTGGCATAAACATTTTAAAAATTAAAATTGTCCTCATTCACAAGGAGTTTAACGTTCTTAGGGGGAAAACAAAAATACAAAATAAATATAAAGTGAATAAATGCAAGTAAATATAAAGTAGTCAAATACAAGATATAGGTCGTAAATTTAGAGCTGGAAGAAACTATGTAGTCTAATTAATTAATTTTGCATATAATGGAAGCTGATGATATTAAATGACTTGTCCAAAGTCACACAGTAAGTAGCAGGTCTTGGATTTGAACCAGGCCTCCAAATCCAGTACTCTATGCCCTCTCAGTCTCTGCATTACTATGACTTTTCTGCTGTCAATACAGAGTGTCTAGTGTGCTTTCTTTGCCTCTTGGCATCAGGTAGCTCTGCAGGTTTGACTACACTGGAAAGAACTAAGATTGTGTTGTTGATGGCTCTTAATTGCCTCTTAATCTTAATGTGAAAAATCCGTAGTACTCCTTGCAGTACCATCTTTGAAAATTTTATACATAAAATTTTACATCTTAAATAGTCAAGCTAGTCAGCACCTTACTGGCCATGTGCCCACTTCTGGTCATCCATATTCACTCTAGAGAGAAAGGTGTTGTGCAGAAAAAGCAGTGGATTGGAGTTAAACAACTTGGGTTCAGAGAGTCCATTTACTGCCATTGTGACCTTGAGTAAGTAACTTCCTCTTTGAACCTCGGTTTCCTTATCTATAAAATGAGGATTGGACTGAGGGACCTCTTGGGTTCCTTCCCGCTCTATGTAATGCTTTGTAGAACTCATTGATTTAGGGGTGGCAAAGACTTACCTTATTTGCATTAAGAAAAGTGGTGAGGTTAGAGGAAGGAATTCTGCATTGAATTGGAAGCTTTTACTTCCTTTTCCTACCCCCCCCAGGTGTGTGAGTAGGCGTGTCAGTTAATCTCTAAACTTTAATTCTCACATCTGTTTGATGAGAGTATTAGATTAATGATCTCCTTGGTATCACTTCCATCCCTAAAAGAATTGAAGTTCTATGATTCTATGAAGTTGAAAAATTAGTAAGTTGTTATTTGAAGCGGTTGTCGTGCATATGTGCCAGTATTTTAAAATTGAACTAAAAGGATGGTTCATTCTTTTCAAGTAGGAGTAATGAAATGAAAAGCTTGGAAAAGATATGTTAAGAATTTTCTTAGTTTTTGAGGAGAGAGGTCTGGTTTTCTAAATTTTGACAATTGTTTTCTTTGATAAAACTAAAAACTGCTTAGACATTGATTTTTATTAATTACAGTTTTTAAGTTCCTTCCCACTTCCCCCACCTCCAGTTCTTCTTTTTGGCATTTGGCTGGAACTTGGCTAGAACATTTTGAAGCTTTATGCCAAGTTTTTCCTTTAGCAGGGTAATACTTCTTCAACTTAAACACATCTTGTCTCTTTAGTAACATTGTATTTTATATTTTCTCATTCATTTAATGGTACCGACTGAGAATCAAATTTTTATCCCCTAGATTATTTGTATATTTTGGGCTGCTACAAGTTCTTAAAGATTGACTTAGTAAATTTCAGTGAAAAGCAAGCACTTCCAAATCCATGGTTTTGCCTTTTTGACAATACCTTGGGAAGCTATGTGTGATGATAAAAATAAAGTCCTGCTTTGACATGATAAAAAAGATATTATTAATACTGAAGGTTTGGATATCCTTTTCCCAGCTTTAAAAAATGAAATTAATAGAAAAAACACAGATGAAGAAAATGTTAAGGATGTATTAAATATATATTTAGTTATCGAGGGCAGGTTTTTTGTTGTTTTTAATCATTTTTATCTTATGAGGGGTGATCTAGAAATGCTGAAAAGGGCTTTTTTCCCCTTAGTTTTCATGTTTCTTCTGAGGTCCTTAGCATTATAGTTACTTTTTATTTTTATTTTTTTTGCAAGGCAAATGGGGTTAAGTGACTTGCCCAGGGCTACACAGCTAGTAAGTGTCAATGTCAGGTGTCTGGTCTGAGGCCACATTTGAACTCGGGTCCTCCTGACTCCAGGGCCGGTGCTGTATCCACTGTGCCATCTAGTTGCCCTCTATTATAGTTAATCTTGCTTTTTTTTTCCCAGAGTTGAGAGATTCGGGATGAAGAATATAAGCTCCCTTTCAGGTGTTGTAAAAGCATTGCTTTAAACTTTTAACAGTACCTTTCTGAGAGTGGAGAATGAGTTCTTTTTTAACTGATGGAGAAATTGTTTTGTTTTGTTGTGCTCTCTCTTGGGGTACGGTTGGATTTCCAAAAATAGATAAAGCCAATTTGAGTGATTTTGTCTTCCTAAATATTTGATGTCTTTATTGCCCCAATTAGGGTGGAAAACAGGTGTTTTTTGTCTTATGATTTATGTAAATGTGGGAAAATTAATTCATTTTTCAAAGCTTATATAAATTGATCTGCCCTTCCCTTGCTTCTGAAGTTTACAGTCTAGAATTGAGAGATACGATGTAAAAACAAATAACTCTAAATATATTTGCTATATTCTTTGTTTTGATGATTTTTGAGATTGAAGGTGTGCACACATTCAGAAACGGTTCAACAGACATTTTATTTAGTGCCTTCCCCCTTATTGACCTAGTGTTTATGTTGTGTGTTTTAACTGATAATCTGGAGGGCTGAATGCCATAGTGGAAAGAGCATTAGATTTGGAGTCAAAAGGTGGGTTCCAGTCCTAGGTTTCACTAGCTGTTCTGGCCTCCTTGGTCAAGAAAATTCTTAACCGCGAAAGTACCTGGCACTATTGAATGGTTCAGTAGAAATCAATATGATTTTATCGGTGGATATAACATTAAGTCCCTTGAGACCTTTCCATTTGACTTGCAGCTGAAACTTACATTTTTTGTCTCCTCTTAGTAGATGCTGGAGAGAAGGGACTGTCTTGCTTTTCTGCTAATATCCCCAGTGTTTTTGCACATAAGAGCTTTCTTCATTCATTCAACTTCACAGATCCTCTTTTGCATTTGTAAAATAAAGGATCAATATTTATCATGCCTCTGCCTTGTGCCAGGCACTGAACCAGATTCTGTGGGTACACAAAGAGAAGCAGTCCTTGCCCTAAGGGAGTTTATACTCCATAGGGCAGACAGCATGGATAAATAAATGCAAAGTAATTGGGGAGAGCATTAATAATTGGGGGGCATCAGGCATCATGTAGGAGGTGGGGTTTGGATTGAACCTTGAAGAGAAGATTGGAATTCTGAGAAGCTGAAGTGAAAGAGTATTATAGAGGCCAGCTAGGTGGTGCAGTGGGTAGAGTCAGGAGGACCTGAGTTGAAATCCGGCTTCAGACACTTGACAGACACTTACTAGCAGTGTGACCCTGGGCAAGTCACTTAACCCCGATTGTCTCACCAAAAAGGAAAAAAAAAGGAAGGAAAAACACATTCTGGGGATAGGAGACAGCTAATACAAAAGCAGGTGGCACAAAATAAAATATGGGAATTACATTAGATTAGTTGGGCTCTAAATAGAAAGTACAAGGGTGGAGTAATATGAATAATTTTAGAAAGGTACCTTTAGAAAGGGCTTTATGTGCCAGGTAGGAGTTTGTGTTTTATCCTAGAGGCATTAAGGAGCCATTGAAGCTTCTTGAGCTAAGGAATGTCTTGGTCAGTGGCAGGGGGGCCATCACCAGTTGTCTTAACCTACATTTTGCCACTGGACTCTGATGACTCTGAAGGAGAGAATGAGGCTGATAATTTAGTACAGCTCTGCATTACTTAAATCCAGTTCACTCGCGTCAAGACATCAACCTTTTGATGTCATTGCTCCTCTTCTAGAATTGAAGGATGAACAACTGTAAACAACTGTCATGGTCAAGGCTATTGAAGAAAAGACATAATAATATCCTTCCTTCCCTCACCATGTAGTACGGAATCCCATGATCCTAGTTTTGGAGGATAATGATGAGGGTCAGTCTGTCTATCTTGTCTGTCTTTGATAGGGATAGAGAAGGGAGGAAAGTATGGGTGAGAAATATTTCCTTTTTTGGGGAGGGGGCTAGGCATTGGGGTTAAGTGTCTTGCCCAAGGTCACACATCTAGTAAGTGTTATGTATCTGAGGCCAGATTTGAACTCAGGTCCTCCTGAATCCAAGGCCAGTGCTCTATCCACTGCACCACCTAGCTGCCTGGAGAAATA